CCTTGTGCGATGCAAACTTAACCTCCGCTTTAAACCCAAACCTGAGAGAGATGAAATTGAGGGGACTCGAAGTCAACAATCTTCAAATAACTGTAATGAAACACAACTTCCAGGCAAACCTTCAAGCTAAAGTTGAAGACTATTTCACAATTCCAGCTCCTGAAGCGCTTTGGTATCACATTAAAAACGGCATCCTGCAGTCATCCTTGAGGTTCTTCAAGAGAAATAGATTAGTTTGGTGAAAACAATCAAGAGATCCAAAAATTGTTGACAAAAAAGGAATCTGCTCAGCAAACACACCTCGCTCAGCCATCTTGCTATGTAAGAAAAGCAGCCTTTTGCCCTGCATGCATTAAAGTCCAACTTCGAGACATTCAGAGCAAGTGGCGGATCAACCTAGCAGAAAAGATTCAACTGATTCAGGTAATCAGGTAATCACAGAGGATTCTATGGAGCTCTGAAATGCATAGACCCACACATCATGCTCAAAACACTCCATGAGGATCACAATGGTCAACCGATGCACTCTCTGAGCCTTTCCCAGTATCCAATGGTGTGAAATAATGTTGCTCCATTCTCCATTCCAGCTCCATTTACAATCTTCTTCAGCATCATGATCCAAAGGGCCATAACAGATCTCGATAAAGAAAACGGTATTTACATCCGATATCGTACCGATGAAAGCCTATCCAACCTACGGTGACAGAAGGCCCAGACTAAAACTCTAAACCGCTTTATCCGCGAGCTGTTCATGCAGAAGCAGCTTCCCAGCGCTTAATATCCTGCTTTGTAGAGGCTGCTAGGCTGGAAATTAGCTTGAGAAAAACATAAGTTCTCTATCAACCTGTGCCTCAGAAAGTCTTCCATCATTCCCACATTACCATAGGCGAACTAGGAGTTAAGCTATTCCAGCAATTCTATTCAGAAAGTACCATTTCCTCGGACGATAAGATTGGCCTAGAAATAAACAATAGGCTAGCAAAGGCATACAGGATTTTCGGAAAATTCCATAAAATAATCTGGTGTAATGAACACCTGAAGAGAATATAAAGATTAGCGTCCATAAAGCCTACCATCTTTTACATGGATCTGAATCATGGGTCCGTCACCACTTGCGACTCCTCCTACACTTCCACCAGCGCTGCCTCCGTACAATCCTAAACATTCACTACTTTGACTACGTGACTAATGTTACTGTCCTTACATAAGCAAGAGTTGCCAATATTGAGGTTAACTACTGAGGACGCAGTTGCGCTAAGCTAAGCACGCCTTCAGAAGGGAGGACCAGCGCTCCCTAAGAATGTGCTCTATGGCGAACTCGCCATTGGCTTCCACAAGAGAAATACCCAAAGAGGGGATACAAGAACTTTCTGAAACAATACCTTAACTTTGGCCATATAGAGTGCCATCAATGGTCCGCTTAGCCTTTTAATCGAGAAACATGGAAATACACCATCCATAACACTGCTGCTTCGAGAACCATGCAGAAGCAACTCGAAAAGAAAACGCAGATAGCACACACCACCTTGCCAATACCGCTTAAGGGGATTTTTCGGATCTATCCATTCTGTGTTAGCCTTTTTTAGCCACCAGCGCGCTTGCAGTAACCGTGGGTAGAACCTCCTCATATCTTCCTGGCGAAGTCTATCCATGATAACAATGATGATGGATTAACGAAGCCAAAATGCCGTACCACAAACCAGGCCACAAATATTTACGTAATAGGCTTCCGGTCTCAGCAATTTTTCATATGAAACATCCATTTAGCCTCGGGTGACAAACAGGTGATAGTAATTTTTACAACTGAAGGAATCTTTGATCGAAGTCCAGGGAGCTCATCTTATATTTGTCTGCCCAGGAGTTGACGAATAACCAACTCCTCTAGCACTATTAACTTAATTTTATACCTGCCATGCCTATCACGAAATGATTAAGCGGTTGAGAATATGAGTCAGATGACACAATAATTGATTACTTGGAATTTCTAAACGGTTCAACCCCCTCTCCTTCTGTTCCGTTGTATGCTTTAAGGGTTGTCTCCCTTGCTTGTTGTTAAGTGATGAATGAATTCTCCATTGTCTAATCCCAAAGCCACCTCAAACTTCCGAATCAGTCCCACTATGACTGTTCGATTGTGAGTCATACAACCTTTGACTTTGTTGTAGCGCCCAACCCTACCGAATAACGGGCTTGTTAGACCACCAAATAAGCGTTGCAACAGTTCTGACCTCACATTTCAGTTTTCATTTCAACTTTTGACAATCATATTTTGCCGAATTAGACAAGTGCTACGGTCTCTAACCGCCAGACCTAACGTGAGAAATGAGGTTACTCTGAAAGCAAATTTATCCCATTTAGCGAGTGAAGCTTGAAATATTACAAATGTTATAAACAGTAGACAGGAAGTTTCAATCATTCATGAACTCTTAAGTAATCTCCTTTTCCACTGGAATTTATTATATTCATCGCTATTCATCTTATAGTACCAGAAAGTGTGTGAAGATATTTTTATTGAAATTGTTCCACCCAACAAATTTTATGTTCCCTGCAAGGTATTTACAAAAAGACTCTCTGAAAATGAGTTCCTCCTCCCCTCACTTCTTCATGAAAAACCTTAAATATTTTTAAAGAACATGGGATTCCAAAAAGCAAATTAGCAATAACTCCGTGACATTCGATATAGTAAAGGTAAACGAGCAGTACCATAACAATTTCAAACGGGCAAACATAAGCAATCTTTTGCTAAGGCATAATAACAGGACGACTTTAATGAGTGGCATCAATACTACAAAAATACGTAACAATAACCAGAAAGAATAAACTCATCGACGGAAAAATATTACGCAGGAGAAAGCATTTCACAAAATAAAATCAATCGCAAACTAAATATACTTACAATTGAAATTAAGACAGAGGTGGGGAGGGCTTTAAATGAGTGGTACAGAATGATTAACAGTGAAATAAGTATTTGAATTCTGCTCAGTCATTTGTTATACAACATGTAGAAAAAAAAAGACAAAACCTATATTTCCAATCCATTTCTTCCTATGATTTATAGCAAAGTCCAACAAAAACCTTGTACAGATTTGCTAGAGGAAATAATCAATTTCTGAGCAGCACAGCAGTGAGTACAAAAGTCGCAAATATTTTATTAATAACATCCTTCTTCTCAAAGCTCAAAACCTTCTTAAAATATAACTAAGTACTAATATTAACCCGTTAACGTAGGTGAGCGGAATGTGTAACGAATTCAAATTACATCCTTCTGAACCGTTTCAAAAATTCAATATACAGCGAGCACGACAAAGTACAAACAAAACACACATAAAGAAATATAATGGTTTAAACGTTTTTGACAACTTTGAGAATATGATGCCTAATAAAGATAAAGCAACAAAAGGAAAAAAAAACATGAAAACGGAGTGGAGGGAAGAATAGCTGTTTATAACAATGTATCATTAACAAATGCATAGTTCTGAAGTAGTGGGAATTGTTTGATCCAGTCAATATAACTACAATAACGATCGTTCGATATTTTCAATGAAAACTACTAGGTGAACGGTAGTTGGGTACAACTACACATCAGACGCAATTAAATACTGGCAGAAAGAACGTGTCTTACAAGAACAGTCATTCTATGGTGTATCCGGTTTTGTTAAATATTCATGAAGCCAGGGAAAACTTCGAAATTATGAAATTTCAAAACAATATTTCAAGATTCCACATAAATCCTTAAATATGTCTTATTAAAATAGTACCAATAATTACATGTTATGATCACTTTACGAGTTTTGACACTAATATTTTCTTTCATGAATGACCGAACATTCAACAGTAAACCTGAGTGATGGTACAGTAAGAGCCAAAAATGACTGAAACAAAAAGGAAAAATGAACTGTGCATATCAAGAAAAAATGAACTTTCAGAGATTCTACCAACTGGGTTCAGATTTGCAAGACATTGCTACATTCATTTCTCATCCGATTTTTGTGTTTGGAAACCTTCGAGCTTTGAATAACATATAGAGCAGTTTGCATTCCGCAACAAAATAACATCCTACATTCTGAGCAAACAAGTTCAAATAACTTATTTAGAACCTAACATATTGTCGAATAGTAATATTCCCGTCCATTCCTTTATTTGGGTGGAAATGATGGAGGCATAAATATTCCTGGATAGCCTGAAAATATTGCACTAAATTTGCAGGCACTACCTGCAAATACAAAACATGGTATATATTCAGTTTTCCTGGACCGATAATTTTAGACTCTGAAATTAAAAAACGTTAGTGAAAGAGCGTGGACAAACTGACAAAAGAGATTAAAATTAAGAATAAAAAAGCGTTTCAGTGATGACGATAAATAGTCGAGAACATTTTCCAGAGAGGACAGGTCATATCCGTCAGTTCAACGTGCATATGATCTAATTCAAGTGCACTTAGAACAATATGTGAATTACTGAATTCATTAGGATACGATGTGTCATCCGCAACGGAAACTGATTACATTTCCCTGCAGAGACTTCAATGGACAAACGATGCAGTCGATCAAAAATCTAATTCTCTACTGTACCCAAAAATCCTTTCGTGAAATTTGAACAAAACTGGCAAAAAATCAATTTAAAAGGGTGTTTTTGACAAGTAAATTTGCAAAAACAAAAAATGTTTTCCTATTACTTACCGAATGATGCATGCAAAGCGGCCATTTGCTGTTCGTAAGCTTGTTGTGCAACAGCATTCATGGAATTCGACGGTCCCGTCATTGGAAAAGCTGCGCCAAATCGTTGCATGTACTGCATTTGTTGGTGCTGTTGCAACTGTGCGAAATAGGCCTAAAAATATGGATAGAACGAGTAAAGAGATTAGTTAAACATGCCTTTACAAAAACTCAATACTGTTGATTCACCTGTTGCTGCTGTTGATGCTGCATAAAGTTCAGTGCAGAAGATTGCGCATTTTGAGTATTTGCGCTACGGTCGTTATTGCTAGAGGCATGAGGTTGAATGCCTGCGAAAGAATTTCCTGAAGCAGCACTCTGATTTCCTAGTTGTTGGTGCATGACTTGCTTCGTTGTTGATATATTACCTTTAAGGAAAACCTATATCTCAAAATGCTACAATTTTTTGAGCAGTCAAAACATCGTTAGTAAATTAAAATGGAGGTGAAAGACGAATGGCGCAGTTACTCTAAGCATGTAGCAGTGATCTTGCCTTGACATCTTGAGAAAAATACACCCACGGTAAGGCAGCTATCAATTAGCCTTTTTTTTTAGCAGGAAATTATTGCGATAAAATTTCTCTCGAAGCAACTAAAGAAATGTTATCGCTCCAAAATGCCTCTGGAAGTACACAACTTCAAATTCAGTTTATTTAAGAAACACACCTGTTCCTCCTTGGGATAGAGGTTGAGAATTGGAGGAAGCAACAACTGAAGATGGCTGAGTGTTGTTGCTGGAATAATAAATCCTTTAGAAACAGCTTTAAAAAAACAAGCATTGAAATACTTCGTAAAAATGTGAGTAAATATCCTCTTATTATTTCTGCATATAAGGTTGTACCGTGTAATCACTGACCTTTCTTTAGATTGAAAAGGAATCAAACTTGGTGGATTGGCCTTCAAATCATGAATTTTATGCTTCGAAGTATGAGGCTGTGACATTCCTGGAGTTGCGGTATTACTTACTGAGGGACTGATAAATGGTATGAAATATGGCTGTGCAAAAACCGAAGCAGAAGGAGCGTTCGACAAATTCGGTATAGAAATTGGAATAGTGGACGCGTGACGCAGTCCTAAAAATGTACAATAATTATATTTTAATCATACTGTTTAGCTAATGCACAAAGTTAATGTCAGTATTCTGGTAGTTCAAGTGAATTATGTTTCATATTGGCAATGAGCAGCAATGTCTTTGAAAAGCGATATTAGTTAAACAGTATGCTTAAAAGAGTGCAACAATAAAACTGTGGTTAGAAAAAGAAACCGGATGGATCCATAAAGGATGATGCAAAAGAACTGATAGTGTTTGCCTGTGACTGTGTTTTCGTTTCATTTTTTTTCGAACCTGAAAAGTTCAGGCCAGATTAATTCCAACAAACGATTCAAGATTTTAAAGTTTCGAAATCTGGAATTACAAATTATATGTTCCGCAAAGAACAATCACAAAATATAAAAACATACCATCAGAGACGAAACCCTGATTCATTTCTGCTGATATTCGAGGAACAGATAATGTAGTAGCGATAGTGGTAGTTGATGAGCTTACAGGACAAAGCAAAGTGGATGAACCAACTCCGCTTTTCGATACAGTGATCATTTTTTCGTCCTCGATCGACAAACTTTAATTTAAATAACCGCTCGAGGTAAAAACAGTAGGTTTGCTAATAATCAATTTGATCTTTTCATTCAGAGAAACTAAAGAATTGAGGTTGCTCTAAGATAAGAATAAAGCCATGAAAACAAAAATACATAAAATCTCAAAAAATATTCCCATCTTTATAAAATTGTAACAAACCTTAGCTGTTCTAGCGGGACTTTTTCGGTGCTATTTACTAATTCTTTGATCCGATCCAAAGACCGCTCCTCTGATTTATCGGCCACCTACGAATATTAAAATTCTATTTAAGTGTTACCAGGCCCACTGAACACAAAGAAAATGAATAATAACTACGCAGTTTTCTTCAGTTAGCTGAATATTTTAAAAGTACCTCTTTCTCCAAAGTTGGAGCATCATCCGAAATGTCTGAAAATGCTGGCGAAGCAGCGCCACCATGAGGTGTCGTAGAACAAACACTAAAAAATTTTTCAAAATCATCCCCTTGATTCTGAAAGCTAGAGAATTTTGCAACTTCAATATTTTAAAGAAAAAAGTAATCGTGTTAAAAAAAGATCCATACCTGGTTGACGGCAGTATTCCAGAGCTGGAAATAACGGTTGCCGATTGCTGTTCACTTGAATGAGCTTCACCACTATTATTCGTCACCATTTTACGAATCGCATCCAGTGCAGTAGATATTTCATTCTGATTTACTGCATCACTACTGAGTAAAGCACCATATACTGAAAATATGAAGTAAATGGTGATGATGGAAAACAGATATATCGTATTTGCAGTTTGTAAATTTAGTCATCAGTGAGTAAGAAACAATTCAACAGTATTAACATCATTCTATACCTTTGCTGGTGCCAGCACTTTTTGGACTTCGAACAGCGAATGTTTTCTTCCCGTCAGCTTTTGCAACTCCACCACCTGCCTCTGTCTTTTGTATGACAACCTACAAAAATTCTAACGACAAGTCGACTTTAAAATACTGCAGTACCACTTAACTCATAAAATTCTCGATCTTGAATAGGAGTATCTTCAATTGCGTACCTTGAAGAGCTCACTGATGCTTTGTTCTTCATGGTTCGTGAGAGTTTTCGACAATTTCGGTTTTTGTGAAACCAAATGTATGCTGTTTTCATCATTTGTAGGTTTTTTTACTTCCGGACTAACTTCTTCCGAGGAAACTGTACGAATCTGAGTTAGTTCTCTATCTGTATCGACAGCAACATCTTTCATGGTGACTAAATTTGTTTGAGTGCCCATGGTTTCAACGTAGATCTGCAAAACACTGTCTTGAGAGCTTTGATGAATTCGAAAGTTAATTTTTTAAAAAACAGATAAATTTATATTGGAACTATTTTTACCGCTCTCCCTCCGTCTTCTTTCACAAAATGCGTGTGGTAGTGAACTGCCAACTGTGACTGAGTGTCATAGCGATGTTCACAACCTGCCACTGGACAGGAATACATTGTAGATAAAGCACATTCACGTAACTGAGATGAACCATTGTCTGCAACGCTCCCAAATGAACCGAGCGCAGATATCGGGTCATTACTTCCGGAAGTGAACCATGAGACTGGTGACTGAGACCTTTCTTCGTCTTGTAGATCCCCACCGACAGCTGCAATGTTTTTATTTATTGAAATTTACCATTATAAGAAAACGAAGAAATACATCCATAAATTTTTCAACCAAACGGTTTATGTGTGGCGTTGGTTACTAAGACAGTAAGGAGTATGGCTCAGCTCAAATTCCCATGACTACTGGATCAGAATGCCATAAATCGTTTAACATCTAGTTATACTCTAACACAGGGCGCAAAGACATCCCTTTTCGCCCTTCGCATCCGTAACTTGTATGAAATGTCCAATATACCAATCAGATATGAACAAGGACTGACATGCTTTCCATTTTTATAATATTAGCTCTAAAAAAGATAAGAGACAATAACTGCAGCGTTCATACAATAACCTGGTGACTCTAACTTACATTGTACATCACTGGTTGAAGCACTTGATGGTCGACCAACATTTCCGATTAAACCCTTTCTTCCAGCTGGTTTAATTTCAGGAAATCCATTCGGTGGACAGACTGAGGAGCTTCTGTTCGATCTTTAAAACAGTTTTCTGAGTTTAAACAATTTCAGTAGAAACTTATAAAACGGTGAAATGAGAAGATTAACTCCATAATATTTACGGAATTCGAAATAAGATTAACTCATAAAATACGGAGAAGAATAAACTGAAAATAAAGTCAAAACATTTGCATACATGGTGAATTAGATAAAATGAAAAGGAAAATGCGCCAACCAAAAAAGGGGCATTCATATTAACCACATTTTAAATTAAATGCAAGAAATATTAAACAAACCTTTTAGCATTAATTCGTTGCTTTGATGGACTGCCACCATTTGTTTTATCATGTGAACTAAACGAATCAAACCCGGATGCACTGCTTAATGCAGCAGACGTGCCCGAAGCCCTAAAACCACCACTGGATCACATAATCTACCAAATAAGGCAGCAAATGGCGCACAACTGGATTGAAACTGCAAACAAAAGCTTGAAAATGTACTTACTTTTTACTCATATACGTATGTTGTAAAGGCGGCAAACCATCACCCAAAACACCATACAAATCACGCCCATTCCAATTAGTAACATAGTACAAATAATCTGTAAAATTTAATTTTTAAGTAAGGTTTGCTTTAATTGAGTAAGAGGAACTGCACAATTAACAAAAGTGGGAACATGTCGTTTAAATGGTATAATACTGCATTACACAACATTACAGCATGTTAACACTGTTTCAATCCTATGTATTTCCACATTTTCTACTTCAACATTTGATTTCACTTTTCTGTTTTGCGTCATGGTATCCATCGGTTAAGAGTCAATGAAGCTACTGACACTATCATCTCAAAAATAATTCAAATACGTGTTAAAAACTGCACAAAAAGCAAATCCATAAAGCAACTGCTATACACTTACTCGAAGCTTTTGCAAGCACGGAAATATTGAGACAATGAGTTGAGCCAACTTTTACGTCCATATCGCCGTCATTAGTTTGCACTGATTTAACACTAACACATGTTGAGCGGTCGCGTATATTCTGTAACTGATGTTAGCTTGATTAAATAAACAGAACTTTTTGAATGATTGACACATAAGTGTAGCTGATTCATTTTTAACCTCTAAGGCCACTATTTTTTAGGCTGAAGCTATAGAAAAATTCTTCAGTATCTTAAAAAGAATATTATAATAAATGTGACATGAGGTTTAGTATAACAAATTGCATAGCTCTTATATCGAATCAAATGTGATTTGTGCCGTTAGGAACATATATTAATTAGAACATAAACTCTGACATAGAGTGAAATTTTACGGAAGAGTTTATGACTATGCTGATGTCGTAAGTAGCTTTACAATCAGACTTCATAACGAGGAGTAACTCTATCTGTTCGTCAGTGTAACAATCGCATTCATTATATTACCATAAATATTTGAAATATCTTGACCCCTAAACTAAAACATATGAGCAGTGTTTTATACTTTTCCAAAACTTACCGGTTTCTTCTTTTTCACTGAACTAACACCTGCAGAAGTCATGCCTAATTGTGAAGCTGCCATATTAAAGGAAGGTGCTGTGCTGCTGGGAGAAGCCAGGCAGGTTTCATGCTCATCTCGCTCACTGACGCGTCGTTTCTTTTTTCGTATTTTGCTGCATGGTGAACTATGCGTTCTACAAAATGTCAAGTTATCAGTTTCATTTCAGTTTATAATGGCAATATTAGAGATTCACTACTCGATCATTAGGACAAAAAGTGTAGCAAATTTTAGGTGGAGTTTTGAAACCCTCAGTTCGGCCTCGATTTATGATCTGAAAGTTCATGAAGTGAACTTGTATTTCTGATAGAAGAAATACGAATAATCAACCAAATTCAAGACAGAAAACAAAAAGTAAATGAATACAAGAAAGATCAAAAACAAAAACATCATCATCCTGGTTCTTCCTGTAAAACCGTATGTTCTGATAAGAATATTAGATCCTGAACCTAGAGAGGAACTTAAAAATAATACAAGAAGTCGGGACGAAATTTTTGACCCTCTTTTTACTGGACCTTATCATTATATATTGCAGGCGTATGCAAGTGCGTAAGAGAAATAACTTATTCTATTTGCCATATTTTACAGCAGCCATTCTCTGTGTGGCGCCAAATGGAACACTGGAAGTACAAAAAAAATAACCTACTTTCAATGCACCAAAATATACAACTCCGTACTGAAATGTGAAATAAGCTAGGGATTAGAAAACTATATCATCCTCCATTACAATTCAAAAGTAGGCTCATAATTTAAACGTTTGTTGAAACTTGTAAAAATAAAAAGAAAATGAAACACTAACCCCGTATTTTTCAAGCTAACACCAACTACCGCAGTATTTTGCCGATCCAAATCCGCACGGTCTTCACCAAATTGTATCCCCTTTAATTAGATTTTTGACTTATCTAGTAGTCGTAAACGTATAATAACGGCGCAGTAATAAGTTAACAAGCATAATACAGGTTGAAAGTAAAACCAGCAGGAAAATAAAATGCAGTTTGAAGCAGGATCCATTCATACATTTCAGAACACTTTATCACAAAACAAGTGGAATAAAAAAGAAAAAAAAATCGGCACGTCAAACTAATGACATTTATTATTAAATAGTAACACAAAACAACATATAAAGATTTATAATTCCTCAAATCTGAAATGATGTTCTGTAATTCCTCAACTTTGATAATCTTCGAAATTAGGCATGAATAAAACTGATTCAAACTGCACTGCAATCTTTCCTTAATATATAAAAATGAAACTGCGTAATGCTTGATCTTTTTAATGCTTGAAAATTCTGCTGTCATATGAAACCAAAACTGCTGCCTTAATATAATTCTAATACATATTAGAAGTGCTCTAACTGGAACAATTAAAATAAAAAATTCTTAAACTTGATTTCCAGTAAGTCCAAGACGTACACTGGTAGTAGAAATTCCTGTTTGCTGAGTATGAGATGCGGAGAGAACACGGGAGCTGTGTTCTTCAACCGTCAATGAACTTGTCACATTTGCTGGTCCTAGAAAAACTTTCCTATTAGTTAAAAAACTTTTCATGTTAAAAGAAAGGGAAATTTATGACTTTTGGAATTCTGAACCAGATTTCAGTTGAGATACTTAGAATTTATACCCTGCGCAACTTTATACGATGTTTTGTATGGAAATTATGTTGAATGGATTTTAAGTGATTTCCCTAAGATATTCATAAATATAGTTGCCTGATATAATTCCACTATTTGATCAGATAAATTCAATGTAAAACAGAAAAAATAATACCAACAAGTTAATTACCCGGAGAAGTCACGTTCGAAGATAACGAAATATTGACCGCTAGTTGACGTGCACTAGAATGCGGTGTGCTGTACAGAAGATGTTCAAACTGCTGTTGTCCGCCGTGACGAAATTTGTTCGTGCCGGCAGATCCTGTTTCAAAACCAGTACTCTGGTATCCAGGCCTAAAATATACACTGCAGATGTGGATGCACAATAAGCAACTATCCTTTTCTTATTAAATAAAATGGATTCGATAGTCAAATGAACCAAACTTTCAAAAATTCTTTTGCGGTAAAATTATTGTTGCTGAGGTACATAAATAAATTCGAAGGAAAATTATTTCTGAGTAATTAAAATTAATTCGAGCAAACTACATTATATAACATTACAAGGTTAAGTTCTCCTAAAATGTGGAAATCTGATAAAAATTCTTGATATTTCCTTCAGCTGAAGTCTTTTTTGACAGATTTATCGAAATCCCCGAAAAAAGTGACTTTTATATGGGTTGAACTTGAATCTTCTTATAGGAACTCAAAGACATAAGAGAAAGCCACAAGTTTATAACAAAATTCTGGAGAATGAATGGGAAGGTTCATAAACCTCCGCAAAAAAAGAACATACCAGTTAGCTGGCTGATGAACGCTTACAGCGGTTGAATTCGCATGTAAACTATTACTCGTCTCTTCTTCATCATCGATTTCTCCCTCTTCTTTAGATATATCCTCATCTCGTGTTGATCCTAGACAATTTTAGCAATTTAAACGCAATTAAAAACTCCAAAATATTATAAACTAGTATTGAAAATATAAAAACATGCATCCTATAAATTTACAGTGACTTTTCTGAAATCCACTGTTGCACCAGTACATAAAATATGTCCCTTTCAACAGATACAGTTTAATATCTTAAGTAGACGAAAAATGAGTGCGCAAATATCCACAAAATTATAAACAATGAATATCCCAGAAAAACAACCGTCACTACGTTTTTCTCCAGGATATGAAAATTGTCCACCACCGCTGACTGGGCTCTGTGTCCGTCTGATCGTCATTTTCAGTCGATCATCTCGATGAACACCTTGAACTACTTTTGGAACTCCACTTTCACAATAAAAATTCGGCTTTGGTTCTGGATCAACCGGATGACTTTCCACGCCTACAATGGTAGGTCCAGCTGTTAAGAATGAAAAGAGCAAGAGTTACAAAAAAGAAAACAGGAGTTCTTCATTTCTGATAATAAAGCATTTATTATAATACAAGGTTCGGCTTTAATAAGAATTTACCATCTTCCGGAGTTAATTCAACTGTTTTTTCATAACTAGTAGTTTTGGAGGATGTTTCCGCGCAACCTGCTTGGGATGAATGAGTGCTATCCAGAATAGCATCATCTATCATCAAACGACCTTCATCTTCGTCATAGGAATCACCCATCTTCTTTTCATTCATTGATAATTAAACCCATTTTATATCAGTCCAATTAAATGTATGTTCCTAATATATGGATCACTAAAAATAAAAGGAAAAAAAAGATTAATAAAATCGAAAATCGTTGAAAAGATGAGACAAATATATTTGCTGACGAGATAAAACCTTCACGAAATTTACAAAACATAAAAATGAATGCCTGATGAACTGTTATCTATATTCGCTCATAAAATGCAATGAATATACACATATACTGATAATGAAAATCCGATTTGGAAATTCAAATAACAACGTCGTAGATTATTTTGCACAATAAACGATGATAAAATTCATGTAGATTACATGAAACAATCGCCATTACCACTTGCAGGCAAGACGACCCCGTCCCGATCTCCAAGCTTTTGAAAATAACTTCAACGGTGACTAACTTATCATAAGACTTTTTTATTCATTATGATATGAAGCGAATCATCACAACCGGACAGTTTTTCGATATTTTGCGTAAGAAAAGTAATCCAAAAAATGTCTTTGGTAGACAAAAACCCATTCGTACCATTTATCGCCTTAATTATTCCACTAAAAGTCGTTTTTGTTCTAAACAAACGCTTTTAGATCTCAACAGAAGCGTAACCTAAAGGAATACCCACAACTCGAACGGATGATTCTTCCCAGGTGCAAACGATTATTCATCGTAGCCTTCATGCCGTTGCTGTTAATAACGCCACTGAAATGTCCAGTTGACATCCACGAGCAACAATTATCACCAAAACTATTCCTTACGGTTCTTCTTCATTCCAGCACCCATCACAACTTCACTTGATCCCGTTATAGTAATTAGAAAGAAGATAGTAATGAGAATCCCTAACTGTCAATTAAACAGTTAACAAACAAACAGAAGTTGAGTTTACGCTATACATAGGTAAGCTCGGTTTTAACTGAAACGTCGACAAGAACCATACAGACTACATTCTTGAGATGCAAGCGTACCGTCTGCTGCTTGCAATCTCTCCACACTGGAGTGGTGTTAACTCCCGAAATTGTCTCCCTTATTTTACTGTGAAATTGTGCTCACTTTGTCCATTTTTGCCCCACATGGTAGCACCATTACCGCAGGAGTGGCAAGAAATAAGATTTCCACGCAACAGCACGAAGAAACTGCGGGAGTAAAAATAGCAGTGCACACTCCAAAACGAGCTCTAATTGTCCCATGCGGGCGTCATCGCTATTATGCTGTTATACGTGCAGTGCAACCGCCTGTTGCAGCCCTACATGACTTTGGTTAACTTATAGTATGGGGTGTCAGTCTGCGGTTACTGAGGTTTCCCTGACAACAAAGTTTATGTGGCTCCAAACACTGGCTAGATTGTATATCTCAAGATTTATTGCAGTAAATTATATAGACCTGGAGTAGTTCGGTCAAAATATAAGTGAGGTGTACAAAAAAGACTATTCAAAGTACATATATCGGATACGTTGCATTCAAAAAAGCTTATCTGAGCTAAGTAGCACAGCACACACAGTATGACACAGTATGGATACAAAAACAGCAACACAATGCTACCTTTAATTGCCCTTCAATTCATCTTGAATGACTAAGATGCTACTTTCTGTAACCATCAGGGTAAATTCAAAATTCGAGGCAATAAGTTCTTAGAGATTATCTGGACTCTCGTCTTTGCTGATTTACATCCGTACGTCTATTCTGCCATACTGAATGAGAATGTCGACGTCTGCACGGCTGGCGATTTTCGTACATCAGCCAAAACTGTTGTAAACGCTCTGTGATGCGGTGCTGAAATGATAAAATGACGAAATCGAATATTTTGCAGCAAATCCCGAATATTCTGGAGGAGCGAATTCAAGAAATGCCTGTTTACTATGGTATTTCAACAACTTTTTGAAAGTGGTGGGAGGAAGGATGTAGCAGATCTTGTCCAGTATTCTCCAATTTGCATGATTGTATTCACAGCTAGTATAAAGCCTAGTATAACCATTCTTGGTTTAGCTTATATCTCGTTTTCCGCACCCACTTTTCCCTTTTTCGTTTTATATGAAAGCATAGGAAGGAAGGCAGTTAATTTTCTTAGCATACTTGAACCGGTGAAACCATATGTGCAAAGCATCGTAGTTATCTGACCTTTGACAGAAACATAATGTTGCGAGAAAGGATCTAACCATCATTTGTGCTGCAAGAGGAAAAGATTGCGTATAGAATTTTCTCATTTGCTTCTCCATAACTTCGATCGGATGAGGGACAGCGATCTCACGGCATCTTTTTGTTTCTCCCTGTTGATTACGTCTGGATATAAATAATTTTGCTACGGTTTTCCCTTTTCCCTTTTGATGTGAAAGTGAATTAATCATTTTCTTCAGTTCAAGCTTGTCGTCAATTATGTCACGTTTCCCGCACCCACATTCACACTCCATCTCGATGATTTCTGTACATCTACCTGTCGCTTTGTTTGTGGCGCTTGTAGCATCATCAATCGGCACCTGAAAAAGATTTCAAGAATCTCGTCAGCATGGTATTTGACTGCTTGATATAACACTGTTATATTCTAAAACCGAATTACGTGCATTATATAGCTACGGAAAATAAAACTCTTAGAAGTCAATTCTGAATGTAGTGAGATCAGTGTGCATAAACCGCGACATCCATAAGGTGCGCTAATTAGTAGTAGCATTGTTTACTTCAAACCATTATTATTGAGAATGTAATATGCCTTTTTATCAAATGAAATACTGGATGGCAATTTTAAGTCAGAGGGTTGCAAGAAAGTTCCGAACACTCTGACTTTTAACGACAGCGCACTTCATCAGATCAATATTACGTTTTTCTTATACTCATCTTATTAGAAGTTACTTGTTATTTGTAGAAATACTGTACCTGTAGAGGAAGTGCTTGTGTTTTTGGTGGTGGAGGGTGCGAAAATGTGTTTACTGTTACTGGAGATGATGTGGTGGGAAGTCGTTTTTTTTCTTAAAGGTAGTGACGACGGATTGGTTAATTCCTCCTTCATTTCCACTTTTAGGTGACCAAATTCTTAGTCTTTGCTGTTCTGGTATATTGGCCTCCATGGAGATGTTCCGGAAGCTTGGAGATTTAACATTTATTTCCAACAATGATACTTCTGTGTCAGACACGAATATTCTTAGTTTATTCTTAAATTCAGGTAAAGTATTTGATGGACATTGCTTCTCCGATATCTCTCTAATACTTGTCAACATTTCATTGGTGACTCCAGATGTTTGGAGAGTTTCATGACTAGGTTTATTTTTTGGAAATGACTTCGGAGGCGAGAACATTATTTTAGCTCTCAACATTTTTATTGGCCTATTTTTAACGTTTTGTGTGGATTCCAGGATTCTGGGTGCCTCATCTTGCTTTTTCATCACCTCAATTTCCTCGTCTTCTTCTGACTCTTCCAAACTATGCAGTGAATCATCCTCCCGAATGATAGCTAAATTGACGCCTTCCTTGTGGACATGTTTCATGTAGATTCGTCGATATGAATTGACGAAGTCTACTGCTGGATATAGATCGTTCTTTTCGAAGCCTGGAATTATTTACATCCAAAAAAGTTCTTTTTAAGAATAATATAATTTAAAGAGAAGAGTTTCGAGTAGCAGGGATCTTCCTGCACAAGAGAATGACATTTTTTACATTTTGTGTAAATCTAGTGTCATTGAAATTCCTTACATACATGCTCATAATTTACGATATTGCCCGAAAATGTGAATCCAAAAAAGACCTGTAATCCTTACGGCTATTTCGTAGTTCAAACCCAACACTGAGACACAAGCTGCTGCTCCAAGTTGACGGTATGTGAAATTAAAACTGTAAAGATCTAGTGTACAAAGATCCAGAACCTGAAAATAAATCTACATTTGATTTCATTTGAACTGTAAAAGTCATCACCGTGAGAGATTTTTAATTGTGGTAAAGAATGCAGTCATATTTTAAAAAATGACCATTTTATTCAGATGGTATTTTTCGTAGTTCAGACAAATTAAATCAGTAAGCAGCTAAGGACTTAGGATTTCAAGAGGAACGTAGAAATCTGAGTTGTTGGCCCGATGAATATGGCCACATTAATAAGCGAGCTGAAATGTCCGATAATTCTATCCAATTGAAGCATATAAAAATATACCTGTGCGATGGCAATTCGATTATTCCAATCTCCCGAAAATGACGGTTCGCCTATGACGAGGTCGTCCAGCTGTGCCCATGTGAACAAGTCCACTTCTTCATCGTCAGATACTCCTAATGTTATTCTTGTTCGTTTTCTTGTTGGTGTTGACTGATGCGCCAGGGACAGATTACGAATTCGCTTGTATATGGTGTAAACTCGCGTCATATGCATATATATTTTAGCCCATTCTAAGGCAGTTACAGTTCTTAATGACCAATGGAGGCCCTGTAAGATTAGCTGTTACCTCATATCAAATTAGAGAAAGGAGTTACGGTCATCCATGAACCCTCCGCTTATTTCTTTGTTTGTATTGTTACAGGAAGAAAGCAGGAAAGATTCCTGTTCCAGAGAAGTTCGTGCTACATATTTGCAAATGTGCTACGTGGACCATAAAAAATTCTCATACAGCAATTATTTTCATTTCCATTTCGAAGATATTTTCTGTTTCCAAGCGACCACATGGAGAAACTTGACGTATGTAATCCGCTATAATTCTCCAGTGGTTTTTTCGCCGTTCCTGAATTTAGACGTTACTTCACTGGGAATCATTCATTTTTGAAGTGTTTTCATCCATTTTATATTTTATCGATTATTCTTTGGCTAATGTCCTGTCTTCTCCGTACATTAATTGTTTGAACGGATATTGAGATTTGACCATTCATGTCCTTTCCTCTTTCTAATAATCGAACTATTTTGTGGCAATAAGATGCAACGTTGTGGGTCATGTTTCACTGTTCGAATCCTGGACTCGGACCTAGGAGTTTTAGATGCTTTGGTTCTCAAAGTACTTCTTTCAAGTCAAAGTGGGTTAAGACTAAAAAACATCGTTTAGATTAAAAATCTGAGAAAGATTTGACCTGACAAAATTAACCTCTATCTTAGAAGCGATAAAGACGACAAAGATCCCTGTGAAAATTATTTCTCCTTTATCCATATTTTCAAAATCAAACACAGCCATTAAACGATCAAATAAATCCATGGCACGATGGTATGTTTCACGACGACATTCCATATATTCGCATAGCTAAAAAAGTCGCTTCGTTGTATTATTAGTATCATCAACAGTCATATCATGAATCATTTAATTTCTCGTCGTCTGATTTAGGTAAGGAAGCTATTACTTGCATCATTACTAGGAGCGTAGTAATTCGGAGATGAATTCCTTTAACCTCCGTTCTCTTGCATTCCCCTGCCCTTCTTTCATCAATTCTATTCTGCGAATCGCAAAGGACGTGCCAAACCTGAAACTTATACGTTTCTTAAGGTTCACCTATCGCTTCCTTGTCCTTTTCATAAAACTCTGAAAGGCATCGGTGGACAAATCAGAAATGACCTCTCGTGGTGAGCCAAGACAACCGCAGCTAAGAAAGTTTGATGGATCGTTATAAGTACAAACATCTGGTGCACCAGTAGAAGACTTCGAAGGAAGTAATGGATTGTCACTCAATCTGAACAAGTCTTCTGAATATAACTTTAATTCTCTTCTTGATGAAAAATTATTTTATCGGAAAAATAGATGTGTCAAGTCACTTCTAGACATATTATTCGAAGAATTTTTTGATGCTAAAATTTATGAATAAAATTCCAGCTATCTTGCGATTTTCTGAAATATATTAGTCTGAGGTAATGATAGTAGTATTGATATTTGGCTAACAAATGTTATATTATGGATGTCTCTGAATATAATAAAGTATGTAATATAATGTTGTAATATGGATATCTCTGAATATCTCTTATTTGTCTTATAGCATTTTTAGGAGTAGGCCTTCATAAATGCATTATACAAGTGCATTGAAACAGTACCAAACAAACTAACCTGCGTTCGTTTTCAATTATTTTCGCACTACGGCAGTCTAAAATCAGATATTTGGAATAAAGATGAAACAAGCTGAATGTAAAAGAGTAAAAAATTGGGTTCAAACTAACTTTCTTCCGTAATTCGACGGTACTTGATAGATGATTCAGAAAACTGGGTTCTTTTCGTCGACAAAGATCTTCTCTTCATAATTTAATTCTACAACAAAGTAATAATTTCGAAGCATATTACTAAATCTCTGTACTTTATCTGCAAAGTACATATGTTGGTGTCACGCCCAGTCTTCAACTTCCTTCACGACTTGCATTAACCAAAGAGTTAATTTGATTGGAAGATGGTAAACGAAGTTACTTTGTGAACTGATCAAAATACTTGACACTGAAATCTAAAAGACTCAAACAAGATTCATGAAAACAAATGGTCAAAAGGTTCCCTGCTTTCAAGATCACAGCAATGAAACCGCCACGGATAGAGCATCAGCTCACTATAAGTATCTGTCTTATGCTTTCTATTTTGATTACCACATCAGCTTCATTTACTTGCAATATTATGGGTGACTTGTGAAATTTGTCCATATGCATTTGACAGGAAGACTTACGGCATCATTCAAATTGAGTTGAAATGAACATTGCGTGGTGGCTTGGAATCAAGCAACAAGGAATAAATTATTGGTACAGTACAGACCACTGATATTTAAGTTTTGCGATTGGAACCGAAATTGAATTGAACTTGTTCGTTTTAAGCTTAAAGTCGTCACTAGCTGTACTTGACCCGTCACTCGCATATGCTTCCTGGAATTTTATTTAGCCCTGCATTCATGCACAACTACACCTGTATTCTTTCAGAACAGGATAGATGGTAACCATCTCATTAGTTGATAGTATGCTGATAATTATCAATAAACTGTCATCTTATTTGACAGTTTTTATGACACAATAATCAACAGTAATGTGGTAGATGCCTTAATAGATGCTGGTTATTAAGTCATAATTGCTGGCAACCAATACATCATAACCCATTTTCAATAAACCTAAATTTTCCACTGATTTCCTTCTATCATTCTTTATTGCTTTCAACTTTGATTCCCACTTACTTTCAATAAAAATGGTCGTGCAGAAAATAAAGTATTTCTGATGCATTATCAGGTTCCAACAGGAGAATTATTCAGAGCAGTTTCTCGATATCGTCACTATATATTGTTTAGATTTACATTTAAATTACTTTGGCTTACAGCTTTTCGATCTTCCTCAACACTAACATTATCTACTACAGTTTTATTAATATCATGATTCCTCTTGCAGCGTTACCATTAAAACCAAGTGTAATAACAACATTTTTAGGATAAGCCTGAATGAATACATGTTACCCTGGATTCTCTTCCTATTTTACGTCAACGGTTTTTCTAGATTACCATTCTTTGGGATTTTAACTTCCAAATATTAAACTTCAATTTTGCGAGAGACCAAAGTATAAAAAATTATCTATCCATGCAATCATCACTCATGTCTTAGATCTTTGTTTTAAATCACATCTGTTGAAACATTTGGAGCAAAACCACTCCCACTTTTTCCGTATATAAGCTGTATTGAGTGTTGTCCGGGGAGCTTTTGATGACCAGTTGTTCATTACGCTCAAGCAGTTTGGTTGATTCCTTTTTTTCCTTTCATCATTATCAGCAGTATCGTATCGTTTTTGTGACCCTTACCCTTTACAAGTAAAGAATTTAACTCTCCCCCTTTTCTACAACGTTACGACACATACACAAACACACACACCATCCACATCAAAGTGGTGCCGCTAATACTCCAAGGGACCTCCAATTCTTCTCCTCGATAACCAACGTATAAAATCCCCTGCTTGTTCCAACTATTGACTGACTGCAAATTACTTCAACAGAAATCCACGACACCATCGTTATCAAGAGTTACATCTTTTTTTTTTTCAGGTTACTTGAACTTCAATAGACTGTTTCTTAAAAAAACATATGGCTATTAATACAGGTCGTTATCACCATTCATCTGAAAAAAGAGTTCCCATTCTGAACATGAGTTATTACAATTGTAAATGTTTGACTTCGGGACTGAGATACTTGAGAAACTGGATCACGAGCTTAAGAAAGAAGGGAATCACAATGAACATCAAGTATAGGTGATGGCAAGGTACATAAAGAACTGAAGTACGCGACCAAGGAAGTGGTTGATGTGCACCATTCTCAAATTAACTTGCCCATTCCATTTAACGATGGACAATTTGCATTCAAACAACATTTCTTCTACCGAATCAACGATATTCAAATCATTTATGCTCAAATACTACCGTATATCAATTACGCTAATATTCACCATCGTGATATCACTGACAGCTGATGCAAAATCAGGCAAACCTAACGCTAATTGGTCGATGATTTTTGTAATAACACCCATAGTTCACTATCCTAACCATGTTACGTACGCATATTATAACTTTAGCACATAATAAAAACAACACTAGAAAAACTTGAATTAATCCAATTTTGGAATAATGAATTTTCGGTAGACCTAACAATAATTAAGACTGGTCAAGATTTCACGACCTTCACTATATTTCATTTTCTCAGAACTCGTATGAAATGGCAATGAATCATGTTGAGGTTATTTTTTGTTCCATCCATAAAATAAATGAAGCACAATTTAAAGTCGAATCAAATCGAGGAATTAAGTGTTCAATACCAACCATATATGTTCTTGAGTAGGAAGACCAGTTATTTGCTTCTGTTCGTCATCGTAAAATTTATCAACAAAAGTACCTGCACGTGTGAATACCTGAAAGAGAACGAAGAGATTTCAAACCGAATGAAATTAATAAAACTGAAATTGAAATTAAATGAAAAATTAATGAAAAACGATGAAATTAATGTATTAATGAAAAAATTATTAATGAGATTAATGAAATTAATTTTTGAATAGAATTGGCTGGCAACTGTTTATTCATTATGAAAACCCCATTCTCATTCTATTATAGCAACAACATCTCAAAGCAGACGCGGTCGATAGCGGAACTCACATCAATTATTCGCTTCTTTACCGGCTGCAACAAGATATTTTCAGTTTCTTTGAAACCAATATACAGATCGAAACATCTCTTGATCTGCAGTGGGATTAAATGCAGTCATTTATAATGAAGGTATAAGACTGTCCACTAGATATTGTTAGCAGTTAATTCAATCAAAGGACATGAAGTTTAAAAAAAATACAGACAAGAGATATCTGGAATAACAAATCAAATCATTCAACAAAATGTTTACCTCAGGCCACGAGTGGGTTAGTTTTTTATATGCTTGACCGGCAAAATTTTGCATATTACTTGCCTTCAAAGAATCGTTTTTTGTAAGATCAAAATCAGGCATTGCTGCCTAAAAAAAGCTATTACAGGTAATCGATAAACTAGTGTAATTTGATAATATAAGGGAACAATTTTTAGCCAAATCAAGTACTTTTCGAACGACTCACTGTTTCCTCTGCTTTAGCAATGTAATCAGCAAATTCGAAAATAATCATATCACTAGTTGCATTTATTAGGTTATGACAGTGAGTTTTCAACTGAACATCAATAATTCGTCGGCTATCACCAGCTGCTTCCGTAACTGCCAGTGGTACCTTAAATGAAATGGTTAAACAATATGTAAGCTACCGTTAATACATTTTTATAGCTTTCAAAAGGCTTTGTGTATCCGAAAAATAAATACTACCTCAAAAAAGAATGACCCTGAATTGATGACTGTAACAATGTAATAACATATTTGCACAGAAACAATACTTGCAACAAAAACTCCAGAAAGGCATTGTTTGGCGTTAACTCAAACCATCTACGCCGGTCATGAAAGAGCTGCGAAGCGGAAGCTCTGTATTTGCTAAAGTCGAACACGTAATCACGCTGAGAGATAGTATTTGAGGGCGTGCTCTCTAAAATTAAAATTTTTTCATCAGATCGACAGTGTAGCATTGTATGTTTTGTAATTCGATGTAACATACATCAGATGTTAGATCACTACGTATAGAGCTGTAAATTTAAAAAAATTTGGGAGAAGATTTGTGCTACTTACCAAGTGGCACAATGACCCTGTATGGACTTGTTTGTTCACGCAATATTAGCAGATGTTTCACGACGAATAATTCAGCATCCAGGAATCGACGAGTGCGCGAAATTTTCTTCGTAGCGCTATTTCGAATCTCTTCCGCTGCATCTTCCAGTGATTGGCAACACGCTATTAACAATTCACGAGCAATGCTTTGGAACACTAAAGGCTAAAATATTGGCATTTCATAGTCTCAAGCAAAAATCTGAAGTTTATGTTAACAGGTAGAGACGTAACTACTGTTCAGGCATTAAAGAAATCAGCAAATAACTTACCTCCAAACATTTAAATAATTTCGAAAGAGAAAGCACGGTACGCCGAACAGTTGGATACCATAAGCAGTAAAGATTGACCACAGAAGTCGGTGAAGTTGCATTTATGTCGTCCTGAATATTTTCTATCCTATCCCTACATCAGTTGATATCTTTAACTTTGAAAAGTATTAATGAAACATGGATATCAGAAAAAAAACGACAACCTCCAATATGTGCTCCTTTTCAATCTCCTTCATCATTTCCAGCTTCTCCGGATAAGCAAGATCTCCACTCGACGGAGTGAATCCGGCTATGTCCGACTGAGCGTACAAACTAGTTCTGCAATTGTCTCTAGAAACTCACCATATTACAATGTATATAATAGTAAATATATCTGTAATTCTGACGATGAAATCATAAAACATCTCTTTACATAATATCAAGTTGCAATATGAAATACAATTATAATGCTGAGGAACTACCTATAAACAATTCGTTCAGCAACATCACCCGCTAATTCTGTCATAATTCGTACAAATCCATTACGTGAATTCGTCACATATTCATCAGTAGTGGATGGTGATGATGTTTCAGTACTCGTATAACCTGCTAATCGTTTTACTGACATCACTGATTGCATAAGTCCACAACGTTCTTCAATCATTTCAACCTTAAACTTTCAAAAGCATCTGAATGAAACTTTGACACATGAATACACTTCGTCTTGAATATATTCATCTTCTACATATACCAGGCATTCAGATTAAATCAATAATTGATAAACTTGCATAAAATTTGTGTATTTTTTTCAAATCCAAATGTTTATTACTACTCAAAAAATGTTAGGACATTCCAAGATTACAATTGATCAATGGTATAAATTGTCGGCAATCATTCTGAAAAAAAAAATTCAGATCCCTTACTCTGCTTAGGGAACGCCTTCCTATCAAGTTATGTTACTTTCTCTTAGAACTATAGCGTCTCATTCATCAACTATCAACTATTAAGACAATCAATTATCTCATAACTGATCTAGTTTTTCCAAACATTTGGATCAATACAAGCTTTACATAACGAAACAATAATAAATTAAAGAAAAAAAGTTGGAAATTACTTTCAAAATCGTGCATAACTCAGTAAGAGTTTCCAAATGTGGATTGTGTATAATAATGGGCCGTAAAATATCGTAGAAAACACGACACAGTGATTCGATAAAATCATCGAATGAACTTGTCCCTGAGATGAATGGAGCCAAAATTGATGCATGTGGACTTGACGGGGTTGACATCGTGATAGATTTTGCACCACTACCGTCATGGCCTATAATGTTGTGTTTAAATAATAGAGTTATCGATGACAAGCTTATTTAGCAAAGTTATCGATGATAAACAAAGAGAATTATTAAAATTTCTGAAGGATATATATTATTTTCCAGAAAGCGTATTTTACTCACCACCAACTGTAAAGAATTGTTTGTATAGTCGAAATTCGTCATCGCAAAGTCGAAGTAAAAAAGTACAGCCATTTCGAGTTAATGCACACGAACTGTTTTCATGAGTTCTTAATAAAACGAAAATTATTGTGATTAAGAATGTCTACTTTCTGATACTAAGTAAAAGATACTCAAGTAGTTTGAGTAAATGGGCGAAATATTTGATAGAGATCGACGATAATCCTTTTCGCAAAATGTTCAAAAACAAAAAAAGAAACAACCTCCCCAGTTCTTCAATAGTACTTCTGATAACAGGTTCGAGCATTTGATACCGTATTTTGAAGTATGCTTGCTGACAATCAGTTACCATCAATTGATATTCTGTAATGTCTCGGAAGTGCTGTTCAGCGACATTAAGAGCTGATAGAACAGAACTAGCTCGAGCAGCGAAAACACCGTATAACAATGAGAAAGTATCGTCATCGCTATAACCACTTCGATGATCTGTAAAAAAGAGTCAATAAACCGTTTATTGGAGTTCGAGTATTTTTTAAAAAATCTCTGGCCGTCTTCTTTTTTCTTTGGAAGGATAATGTTTGCGACAAAAGTAGGCGATAGTTTTCGTTTGAAAAAACGGTAACAACATACTGTCGACAACTAGCTTCATATGCCTATCCTTCACAGCATTACGACTTGCTTCCAGATCGGCCATAACACCCATCCTTATCACTGTCATTGCTCTAAATTTTACCAGTCGCAAGCATTTAAAAGGTTAGAAGTGTTGTTTAAAAAAATATACAAATTTCGACTTATCGCCTACTTTTGTTCGTAAAAATAAGTAATTATTCGCAATCGCGATCATGACCACACCAATAATTTACTAACTGTTAACATTTAGCGTCCCATCATTCCTCGATAGAAAATAATGAACAGTAAAGAAGGTAATAAAGAAGGAATAAAGAAGGAATATTCGATGAAGAAGGAATATTCTCATACATAAAGTTTATAACAAAAACAAGAAGAGAGTACTTTGACAAACACTGCTCATATTTTGTAATACATATTTTGGAATCCTTGTAATGAATATGGTTATTCAAAAATCTCAAACATTCATCGATTGTCGATAAAATCTGCGTAAATACTTGTCCCGTTATTGAAAATTTTCCAGTGTTTAGTTTCTGAAATGAAATGTATGCTTAGGAAGTATGAAAAAGACGAACATTTATCTGCTTAAGCCACTTAAGATGTCTGAACATTATTCAACATAAATGCAAAATAAATGATCAAACCTACTTTCATGATGGACTCGTACTGGGCATAATAGTAAAGGTTTGCACGAATTTGTTCAGCTCCAGCAGCAATCTGTGTCTGGTGTGCCATCATTTGATCACATGCATTGTGTAGTGAAGAGGTTCGTTCAGTAACCATTTCATAATTACTTCGTAACTCATTCACCAGCTAATTAAATAATGTTTCGTACGAGATTTATAAAACCGGCACATGAAATAATATTGGATTAAGCTACAAAGTGGTCCTCAAAGAGGGGAAGAACCGTTGGTTTAGGAAAAAAAAAGTGAGGAATCGACATATAAAATTTGCATCAATCATAAAACCAACCTCAATGCAATTATCATAGCGTTCTTTCAACAGATCTATACTTTTCTTACAGACGTGTAGCAAACCAATTTCAGTACTTTCTTCAACAATACCAATCGAAATGTTTTCCTTTTCAGCGATGCACAAATCCGACAAATAACTGAAGAAAAAAATCCCAGATAAACACTGACTGATATTAGCAAATCCTATGTTATTCCGTAAAAATCCAACTATTAAAAAACATTTCTTTCTTTCGAACTGAAAAATGTAGGTCCCAAGTCATAATCTTGAGAATTTTCAAGGACCTCAAGATTATTTTTTTCCAATCCATTTTTCGATTTCATGGTCGTGAAAAAAGAGAGGATGAAGGATATAATTTCAATTTGACCTAATCATTAACGTACACATAATGGGGAATAAAACAAACCTGCGGAGCAAATTTGCATCTAGACCCGAATCCAGCACCTCTTCGAAGTTATCCGATTCCTTTTCATTTTGTAAATCACCTCAACAATAATAACATAATTCTTCCTAACAACAAGAAAAGTTTGATCTTTATGCATAAGTTAATCTAAGAGCTATTCTACAAACGCAGCATGTCCCAAAACTTGACAAATGAACTTCCTCAAATATTAGGATCCTTATCTATTAATACAAGAATTTACTGCTACAGTTAGAGTCGGTATAAATCGGTGATTAACGAATCGAATAAATCCCTCCTGGAAAGAAACAATACACAAAGTTACAGAACTTTCACCACTGTTCGTAGATGAAGGCAATCCATAATCGGCGGCTTTAGCATTCAACAATTCAACTGTCTTATTATGCATAGCTCCGAATGGATCCATCCTAGTTAATGATATCCTGAAAGTCATACTAAGTACTAGTAAGACTGTTGGATTTCAACGCTGTGACAGCACATTCAGTCCACCTACCCGAATATGGATTCAAGTAGATGTAAAAGGACCAGTTATTACTGGAAGCACCAGTTCCGGATAAAGATTTTCATATGCCAGTCATCCTCATATCACCTACTCTAAATCGCAAATTCAATATTATCTATACTACTAGGTTAATACCACTGCACAGCCACACATGTCGACATTAAAAACCATTTTATTATCAGAAACATTCTTATACCACGAGTAAACAGACAAAATCATAAGCTAAAAAAATGAACAAAATGAGGAGGAAAACATGCTGATATTTTAAGTATGAATTCTTCAGTGACTTTCTCAAATCATTTAAAAGACAAAAAACATTCCTCCTGTTTTATAAAACGAAATGGAAAGCACTTAAAAGGACCGAAAAATATAAATTGTTCGAATAAGATGACCATACAACCAGAAAACGCAGTAACAATATAGAAATGACTGCATAAATACTTCCTACTGCCTAAAACTCTAAAACGAATTAACGGAAATTTTTCGCAAAACCAGTTTCTTTGTGCATAAACTGCAGGATGTTTCAAGTTCAAATAATCTAGAACAATAAAGTGGAACCTCTTGAATATACAAAACAATAATATTTGAATTCCTTGAACAAAAATTCCTGCTTTGTATTCATTGGATGTAAGTTCTAAGTTATTAATTGTAATTCCGAAAAGGGCGAAGAAAAAAAAAACAATATTATTTTAGTCCAACCGCTGTACCTGCTTCCGTTGCCTGGGAGATCCTGGTTTTGGCGACTTCTCTGAAATTTTAAAAACATAAGATCTATAGAAAATGAAATGTTATTCATAAGAATGACCCTCGTCCGAATCACTGTTCCTCAAAAAACTGTTCCCAAACTTTTTTAGTTCCACATATGCAAACAACGCCAGAATATTGAAATGAAATTCATACTGTGATTAAGTACTTCACGCGGGATCCATTCGAAATCAACTTCGTTCTTACTGCTGGTCCCTATTTCAATTGATTGTATCTGCCGACTTTTGGCCATCCCATGTTTCCTTGTTAACTGAAACATTTCAACTGTAATAAATAGATGATCATCAATCACAAAATTCCAGATTATTTGGTACTTGATACTTGAAATTATTTTGTCTTTTCTTACCAACTGGAATAACCATAAGCATAACCTCATACCATATGCCTTCAAGATCACCATGCATTTAATCGTTTTATAAATTCTTATGAATCAAAAACCTGATTATTTCTCCAACATTTAACAATTTCTCTTTTTACATCTCAGTCCTTTTACAGCTGTTAGTATTTATGTTAATTTATTGAGCTTATATATTTGAGCTTTATTGAGCTTTCATTGAGTTATTTATTGAACTTACTTTATTTATTGCTTTTTTTCAGTCTTTTTTTTAGCTTTTTTTCTTATTGAGTTATTGAGCTTATTTTATTTACTGAGCTAGTTCTATGAGCTTATATATGTCAACGTTTATTCGATATGCAGTATTTAATAACCTTGGAAAGGAAATGCTGTCCAGCCAACAATATTAACAGAACACCGGCCGCAAAAATGACGTATAGGAATCCAGTTTCCGTGTTGAAATTTGACTCATCCTCAACAATTGTTACAGTTTCGTTGAAAACCGTGTTTTTGTATGCTTTTCCATCACTGTCCTCATACTGTAGTTCTACGACAAGCCCCAATGGTCGCCCAGCGAACTGGTCAGATGGATAAAAGGCATAGTTGAAGGAAGTCTCCTGTTTAGCTGCCACAACACGATTATATTGTACTCTCGAGAACTTAAATAACAATACATGAAGTTAAATGGAATTAAATCACAGCAAAAAATAAATTAAATTTGACTAAATCAAGAAAAAATCTTAACAACCCCAAGTAAGAATTTTATCAGATCACGAAATACTAACATTTTGTATGTGATAGCTGAAATCCTGTGGGTAGCGGAAAGAAGTCTCGCAATAATGTACGGTAAAATCTTTTTCGCCACGATTCTGAAATCCTATCAAGAACTGAACAAGCTTGCCGCCAGGAAGGTCTGAAAGAAAAACCAGTATTAGAAAATTATATTCACTTAAATAAAGATTATTGAAAGAAAGGCGAAAATAACCGACAAAGTCTAAATGAAAAGTACCTTCTGAATTCTCAGGTCGAATAAAAATAAAAGCTACATGAATGTCAGGAGAAGGTCCCATTATGTTGTCAATTTTCAGTGCATTGGAAATCTGAAATGTTCTATATTTAGCGTAGGTCATACTTAGAAGAGAACATTGGGATTCGAATAGGCGAGGAAAAGCAGTTAAGTTGCCAATAATTTTAAACAAACTCATTCATACCTCCCTTCTTCCTAATAAAACGCTTCATAAAGAAATTTCCATACTAAGATTGATCGGACAATGATCGCATGCAGTGACTACCTTATCATCGGGAACTGAAATGATATCCTCTTCGATTACAGGGACTTCCTCTTCAACTTCACCGTCCACTTCATCATCTCCCTTGACAGTAACAAAACCTGAAAGCAGCACCAGCTGATGAAAATATATTGCAATCTTCTAGAACTAAGAATAAGCTATCAGTTAAAAAGAGTGCATCCAACTTGGATATAGGTATTTCCATATAAGCATAACAACATGTTCAAGAGGACCTAAAAACAAAAAATGACCTGTAATCACGACATAAGCAGACCGACAAGGAAAGCGTGAAAGATTAATCACTGCAAAGGCATGAACTCAAATAAAGACATTTCATCAATACGGTGTATTTCAACAAACCTTTTTGAGATGATAGCTGAGGGAAGTACTGGCTTGATTGGAAATAAATTGAAACTAGGATGGCTTTAAAATAAGTAACAAAATATGTTACATGTGCATATGAATGAAGAACTTACAAGTCCCTAATACTGCGAGTCCAAGAAGAAGCCGAAATGTTCCCTTGCCGATCATCTCCAACCCGTCAACCAGTAACTGTCCACCGATCAGCTGGGTCCTCGAAGATCCACAAACTGCTGGAAGAATGCTGCAACACTGCAACAACTGCAAATTTTCAAAGTGTTTTGTGGAGGACAGAGGGGGAGGGGGTGGAGTGGGTGGTGGGGGGTGGGTGCGTGGCGGAGCACGGATAGTGTTGAGGTGACAAAGGAGTAAGCACTTGCAATGGTTGGATTTTTTTGAAGTGTTACATTTCTACATCTTTTAGTATTCTTAAGTGTTTGTCATCAGCCAGCTATTATCCAGTACCTATCATCGAATATTCGTTATCAAACCCATTTTGAAGATGTGTATATTAACATTAACTCCATGGTCAGTTGCATTACTTCCAGAATCTTATGGCTCTTTGCACCTAAAACACTTGGCTTAGGTTTCGCGCAGCAACTTGAAGAGATGCTTCCGCATGAATATGGAGATCCAGAGTTATGTTTCCGGCAAGAAAACTAGTTGCTTGGAGAAAATAGGGATGGTTTTTCAGTGATAAATAAAAATCAAAAAACATTGCTTGAGTATGCAACATGTTTCGTGTGTAAGATGTTATGAGATTTGTAGAGGTTACATAAATTCATAAAGGAATATTGAAGATCAAGCGGGTACACAATTCCCTTCCATGTTCTCCGATGAAAAATAAAGTATTCCGGTCCAGTATGAATCCAATCCAACATTGCTGGGACAATACCCTTCTTTCCACACACTGTGTCTAGTCATTCTTTTTGCATCTCCTATAATGTAATAATTTATTCTTTGTTGACAGGATACGAGACCATCCTAGGTTAGGTCATAACTTCATCTTATGTGTGGAATTCATTGGTAACCAACCATTTTAATAAGCGAAATGCTAGTTGTGATGGCATGCAATCGATCCGTTCATAGTCTATCTCACCTTTTAACTGTCACAGCATTTTGAAAGGAACTCAAGTGTTGGAGGGATCAACCTCGATAAGGATAACTTGCAGCATTAAATTTATTGAATACTCCTTGTCATTCCAATTTGTACATCAAATTTAGTTGAAAGTTCATTGGAAGTCTTAAACATATCCATCTACATGGTATATCCAAACTACTGACAGTCGTTAACTTGTTCACCTGCCTTTCC